AGGCCATGCGCGGCCGACGGGCCACCGTCGTGGTGACGTATGAATGAGAGAGGCGGCTTAGAGAGGCGAGGACGCTCGTTCCCTATGACTTTGCATCTAAATAAAGAGACGCTTGCGCGACAGACTAAGGTCGTATTCTACAGGCTAGTCTACGGACTACGCCGACCTGCGCCAGAACGCGAGACTCGACACTCGAGGCGAACAAAAACAACCCTGTCTGCACGTCTCGCGCGCGCGTGAACAGGGCTCCAGGCCCCAAATCACGCGTGAAGGCAGCCTGGAGCTCCCGCCGTGCGCGCGCCGTGCAGCTCGTCGGACAACGCACAAGCCCGGTCCGGTTCTCGACCGCGGCGCGGCACTCGCGCGGAAAGTCAGACCATATGATTAAAACGGCGGCCCGCTGCTGCATCGGGGTGGCGATGACACGTGCGTGCCATTCTGCGGCCGAGATTAGCGCCCTTGGCGCGAGGGCTGCGGCGATGGGCTCCCGTTCAAAGTAGGTGGAGAGGGGCAGCGCCTTGGGCGCCTCCGGATCGACAAGTTCACTGGAGAAGACGCTCGGCTCGACGAGGTCAAAGCCGCCGCGAGTGCACAGGGAGACGGCGGTGGTGAGCGCAATGCTCGCGCCGGCCAGCTTCTCCCAAAAGTCACCGATCAGCAAAGCGCGGCCGTGAGCGTGCTGGTGCTGCGTGGCCCGAGGGAGCGCAGACATCGCTCGGCGGAGCCAAGAAAAACGACGGCATCGATGGAAAACGCACAGTAACGGATTTTGGCCCATGCGCGTGCTCTTCCTCTTGCTCGCCGCGCGCTCGGGAGCCGGAGTGGCTGGGTCGGAGCTGCTGCAACGGCGCGAGTGGCCGCGAGGGGTGGTGCTGGGGCTCTCCAGAGAACGAGGCCACGGCGCGGCGCTCGCGGCGGCAGGCGGGGCAGCTCCAATTGTTGGCGAGGCTCAACAGCAGCTTCAGGCAGTGCAGCGCAACGCCAGCTACCTCTCCAGAGCTGCGCGGCGGCTGGCGGGCCTGTGTGAAAATGCCGGGCCGCGTGCTCGGAGCGCGCAGTCGGCCCGCCTGCCAGCGGCCGAGTCAGTCTGGCTGGCGATAAGCGCCAAGGCCTTCCCTGCATTCTGGGCGACGCCCAACTGTGCGCAATGCGATTGCTGCGCCGGTGGGCGGCCTCGATGCGGAGCGCCGCGCGCGGGGCGGGAGGCTCCCAGTGGCGCGGTCGTTGGTCAACGCCGCGGCGCGCGCGCACCGCGGGCGCTGCTCAACGATCGAAAGGCATGGGCGGGCGATTTGTCGCTCTCCGGCGCCCAACTTTGACTATCGATTACCGCCGGTTATTATAACCGGTGGGAGATCGTTTCTGCAGACGGAGGGATTCAACGCGGCGATAACTGCCCGAGACGTCCCTAACCTTTATTTATCTCTGCCCTGCTTCAGGAATCGGGGGCTCACTTCTTTCTTGCTTTGTGCAGGACGCAGGTCCTACCTTTGGGGACACGTAATTCCATCTATATGGTGGTGTCCCCCCCCCTTCACTCTTCCTTCCGCCGCCAGCTGGAAAGAAGTGAGCCCCCGATTCCTGAAGCAGGGAAGAGATAA